CCCGCGGTTTTTTCATTTCTCCAATTCTTTATTTTTTGTCCTATTTAATAGTACAATAAATAAAAAGGTGTCACTAAATTGCGATAATTGTTGTGGTAATTCTATTCTGACGTTTTTCTTTTGTTCGTGTTTTCGTTGTAGCTCAGGGCAATTAGACCAGCTTTAAACAAATAATAATATTTCGAAAACCAGCTTTGCTACAAAATTTATTAATAAACAAAACCGGTTGAGACTTTCACTATTCTAGTCGTATTTTTCATCTGTTCTTCGTACGCGTCACACTTACGCCTGATGCACATGTGTACCCGCGATCAATATCCTCGTGAATACTTATCCTCAACACATTCATTTAATTCTGGAAATTCCTTGACAAGATCTGCAAAATAACTTTTAAAAATGCAAGGATAGCCATAAGAAGAAGCGCAATGTAATAATTCTTGTACCAAAATGTTGGTTTTTTGGTCCTCTCAGTTCTGTTGATCCAAATGATCCTTTGACGACACATAGGTTTGCATCAGTCATAATAAAAGTTATCTCTCTCGATTTATACTGACAAGCGCTGTTTTCTCACACATTTTTGACACAATTTTGAGTTTGGATTTATTTAGTTATAGATATAGACGTAACAATTGTGTTTCCACCTTCTAGTTAGGTAACATCTAAGAAGCAGAACTATGCAGTAAACGAAGGCAGTGATCGAACAAATGTCTCTCCTAACGTAAATTTAGATGTTAAATAAATTGTTCCACATCTATATCGAATACCTTCTTAAATACGTCCGAGTGCTGTCCATATTTCAACACCCTGCATAACTCGTATATAGTATATATAGATAACTAGTCAAGCATCGTTCGTCAAAAGTAGATCGAGCCGAAAACGTGAGAACGTTCGAAAACAAACAGTTTCACCTGTCGCCTGTATTCGAGACCAGTTTCAATTTATCTCGAAGCGTGGCGTTACTTTTATAAAACAATAAGACCCGACGACCCCGGGCCGCCATTTAAATACCGGCCGAGTCGCTATAGGAAGTCGGGCGAGGTACATTAGCTCGAAATTCTTTCATGACTGCGCCGAATAATGTTACAACACGACTCCGCGGTTAGATTATCTCTCGTTTCTCTTTTGTTCGACGATTTATACCGCTTCAAATTCTTTCGGAAAACCCGCGCTATATGTTTCGTATCGACCCAATTGGAACCAATAATGGTCCTGGGTATGGTAATTATAACGCTAATTCTGCTTCTATACCGTTGACGCCATGGTTAAATAACAATATTGCCAATACGAGTTAATAACATTGGTAATATATTTTTGAGCGAATGACCTGTTACCATATTAACGTATTTGGACTTAAACAAAAAGAAAGAAAACTGCTTTCAACGAAAAATTGAGAAGAAGAAAGAAGTAATGGGTGTTTTTTTTTCGATGTATAGAACTTTAAGTTGGCATTACTGTTCAAGATGACGACCGATTTAACAGCTGTCAAGTGATTTATTCTCAGTTTGGTTTGGCAATTCATCATGATTAGACTTACGCCTGAACAACGCTTGCAAATAGTGCAATTTTATTTCGAAAATAATGGTTCTGTGCGGAATACGTATCACGCACTACGTCCATTTTATCGTCGATAAAATCGTCCATCAGAGCACTTAATTCGATTAAAAATGGAACGTTTTCGCACTACGTTTACTCTTATTGATAACTCGCATCCCCAGAGACGCCATACGGTGAGTACAGAAATAGCTATTGCTGCTGCAGAGCGTAGCATTGAGGAAGACTCGAATGAGTCCATCCACCATCGAGCACAGGAATTGGATCTGTGTCCATCCACTTTATGGAAGATTTTGCGGAAGGATCTTGGTTTACGTGCTTACAAAATCCAACCCGTGCAAGAGTTGAAGCCAAACGATCATCTAGTAAGGCGTAGATTCGTCGAATGGGCCCAAAACGAGATTGCCGTTGTTCCCAATTTTCATAAGCGAATTTTGTTTAGCGATGAAGCGCACTTCTGGTTGAATGGCTACGTCAACAAACAAAACTGCCGCATTTGGAGCGAAGCTAATCCTCAAGTGTATGTCGAAACACCGTTACATCCAGAAAAACTGACTGTTTGGTGCGCTTTATGGGCTGGTGGAATCATTGGTCCGTACTTCTTCAAAAACGATGATGGCCAGAACGTTACAGTCAATGGTGATCGGTATAGAGCTATGATTACTAACTCTTTCATTCCTGAATTGAATAACCATGATGTCCAGGAGATATGGTTTCAACAAGACGGCGCAACATGTCACACAGCTCTTGCCACAATCGATTTATTGAAAGACACGTTTGGTGACCGCCTAATTTCACGTTTTGGACCTGTGAATTGGCCTCCAAGATCTTGTGATTTAACACCGCTAGACTATTTTCTGTGGGGCTATGTAAAGTCATTGGTGTATGCGGATAAGCCACAAACGCTTAACCATTTGGAAGATAACATTCGCCCTGTTATTGCCGATATACGGCCACAAATGTTGGAAAAAGTCATCGAAAATTGGACGTCCAGAAATCATATTTAAAATGTAATGCCACAAGATTATCTTTCGGATAAATAAAATTCATGTCAGTCTAATAATCCATCGTTGTTTTATTGTTATAAGTTTTATACATCGAAAAAAAAACCCTTAGATGAAGATGCTTTGCTTTCTGTTTGAAGATAAAACTGAGTTTCGAAAGTCGAAAGAAAGGATACGGTCCTGGAACACCGCCAATGCCCCGGTAGCTTTTCTAAAATAACCATAACCGTATATGCATATGTATGTGTAATATCTCATATTGTTGCAATTTGCGAGAGAGAAGTTCCCGACTGTACAGTCGGAAACAGAAATTGCCCGTCATTAAACCGTGGCGGGGTTTAAAATGGCCGCCGGGACATTTCGAAGTGGTTTTTTTTCCTTCCGTTGCTCCGGAGAATAATAATTTCGCTTACGAGAAACTGGAATGCCGAGTAGTCTCGTCTCCGGTATCCCAAAAATGTTATTCGAGATGTCCTCGCAAAAGCGAACTTTCGGAAGCTGCGCCTTGAAGATGGCTGCGACGATTATAGTTCCGAAACGTTAAAATCGGCGTCGTTTTACAGCCTACCGGTAAATGTACAGTTAATAATGTAGTCTGATAACGCAACATCATGATCCTTTTCGAATTTTTTTAAGAATTCGAAAAAAAAATCAATTTGATAATGGTTAAAACTAATTAGATTAATTAATATACTAAAAAGAAGAGTCCTGCGTTCATGATTTCTTTGAAACTTGTATGTCTTCTTTTTTTTTGTTCGAATCGGTCGCGCCCCTAAATGTTCATCAAGTTAATTAAGTTCGTTAAGATAAGAATTCGAATTACTCCAATTCAAATCAAAAACATGAAATTCTAGTTCTTCGGATATTTTTCCGATATTCCGTTTTTAAAAATAAAATGAGCCTATGGTTTTGTTTCATAGAAACTACACGGCATTGCTATGATTATACCAAAAAACATGCGACAACGATCGGCTGGCGGGTCGTTATCCAAAAAAAAAAAAAGAAAGAAAAATGGTCACCAACTAAGGTCTGGAAATTAGTTTCCAAGATACGGGGTGTTCCATATTTTAAAAAAATCTTTTTTTTGCAATATGCAACGTTATAATGAAAAAGGGCCACATATTTGTATAGAGTGGAGGCGTCCGCTATGAAGATAGAACCGAACCAATAAGATTTCTATATAGCACATGTCTACGTCTGCTATTTACAAATATGCTCCCGGGAGGTATTCTAACGAGTAGTATTATCGAACATGTACGCCACTGATTTTGTAATTTCCGTTATTTGTTTGAATTTGTTTTGAATAAGCCACAGAAAGTACAACTTTGACTCTTGAGTTTTTTGTGTATTTTGATTTTTTATATATTTATTTTTTGTACACTATGGTCACAATAAATTTAGTTCTGCAAAATTAATATCAAAGAAAATGTTAAAAATGATTAGCATCGGCTTATTAATGTTGAACCTTGGAAACGTTTATATGATTTTTTTTCTTATGGCGGATAGTTTAAAGTCATCATGAAACAAAATGAGCCAAAGTTTTTTTGGTACGATTAATTCATTAATTATATGATATAATTAATTATGGACTCGTAAAGTTTAATGTGAAACCAGCTCAACTTTCCAGACCATCTTTGGTCAAAAATGTATTGGTACAAAAACTAATTCAAACTTAATTTTCATACTTTTCCGGTCGGGGCCTCGTTTAAGAGAAATCGTCTACTTTTTCCAATCGGAAGACATGCGCGTCGAACGAAAAAAACAGAAGAAAACTGTATCAACATTTCAACGTCACGGACATCATTAATCATCCGTTTTAAAAGCGGAATGAGCGCGGCCGTGAAAAATAAAATTCTTCTCGGTACGATTCCGACTGAGCGCCTTTAATCATTTTTTTCTGATCGTAATTGATTGCAGAGAGTCGGCAAAAAAATCGCGCAGCACTTTTTTCCCCTGCGTCTTGTTGTTCTTTCTTGGTTTTTGTTTTTTTTTTTTTTTCGTTTTTGTCGTGCAGCTTTCGCGTTGTTTAAGTGACAGTCGACAAATTCGCGGTCGGTAAAGGTGGTGGGCGGTGACTGTGACGTGGTCGGATGTTAAAATAAATCGATCGTTTTATTTGCGATATCCATCGAAAAAAGAAAACAAGATGTTAAACCGTATCGGAGGCGCAATGAATCCACAATCGGCCAATCAGTCGTAAACGTTCGAGGAAAAATTCACAAACGTGGCACCTCCGCATTCGCTTGAAATGTATTCGGAATGGCACAAAAAAGTAGCTGTTTGTATAGTTTGTTAAGTCTGACAGACGTCCTATTATGCAAAGTAAGGACCTCGTTTTTTTTTAATAAAACTGTGTGTCAATTAAATAAGATGAATATTGTATATTTAGTTGCATAATACTCCGAAAGGGCGGTACATCTATCGTACTGATCCAAGAGCCCTGGATTGTAAAATCAAGGGTTAGGGGCTTATCTCTGGGAGGATCGATGCTGCATAGTGTTGACTCCTTAGAGGACGGTCCCAGGGCCTGTATTCTAACCATGGGGCTGGAGGCCTTTTTCCTAAGGGATAAGGCGTCCAGGGACCTGGTTCCAATTCTGGTCAGATCCCCCACTCGGGACGGCGTGAGGGAGGTAGTGGTCGCCTCTGCGTACTTTCCAGGCGACCGCAGCTGTCCTCCGCAGGAGATCAGTGACTTGGTCTCCTACTGCGAGGAGGCGAATCTTCCTCTTTTGATTGGCTGCGACAGCAATGCTCACCACGTTTTGTGGGGCAGCGCGGCAACGAATAGAAGGGGGGGAGACCTCGTGAAGTTCATGGCCTCTGCAGGGCTGCAGGTGGCCAACAGAGGGGTAGAACCCACGTTTTTCACGACGGGTCGGAGCTCGGTCATAGATTTAACACTTTGTACCAGGGCTCTGCTCCCGGAAATAACTGGGTGGTGTGTCTGTGGGGAAGACTCTATGTCGGACCATAGATACATCACCTTTGGGTTGGAGATGGGTGTTCGGGAACCCATTAGATTTAGGAACCCCCGGGCAACAAACTGGGAACTCTATAGAGAGGAACTTGCTTGGCGCCTAGGGGGCTTACCAAGGAAACACCGCACAATGGAGGAGATTGACGAGGCCGCCGACCGAGTCAGCTCCGCTATGATGCGGGCGTTCGAGATTAGTTGCCCTGAGACAGAGGAGCATAGGGCGGGAAGGACTCCTTGGTGGAGCTCTTCCCTGGAGCGTCTCAGGAGGAAAGTGCGGAGGCTGTTCAATACAGCGAGGAGCAGCAGCCAAGGTGCGGACTGGGATCTCTATAGGGAGGTCCGCAGACAGTACAGTACTGCGACGGAGTAATGAATACCCCGGACGCGGCTAGGCTCCTTAGGGTACTCAGAAGTGACCCTGCGGGAAGACTGGGGGTGGTCCGCAGGACCGGCGGTGGCTACACAGCGGGACCAGCGGACACACTACAACAGCTGCTGAACACGCACTTCCCAGGGTCCGCTGATCCGGACACAGGGGGGAATATTGAAGCCGGGGGTCGTCTTGGAGGCGACTACGCCACGGCAAGGAGGGTGGTTACCCATAGTAGGCTGAGGTGGGCTATTGACAGCTTTGGCCCCTTCAAGTCGGCGGGCGGGGATGGAGTTTTTCCGGCTCTGCTGCAAAGGGACGGAGGTCTCCTGACCAGCCCGCTGATGGACCTGTTCAGGGCCTCCATTGCGAGGGGGTACGTGCCCGAGCTGTGGAGACACAGCAGGGTAGTGTTCATTCCCAAGGTAGGGAAGAGTGACTACACAGACCCGAAGTAGTACCGGCCTGTTTGCCTCACCAGCTTCATTATGAAGACTCTGGAGAGGCTGGTGGACCGGTATCTGAGGGACTGGGTGGAGCTGGAGGCCCCTTTAGAGCCAGCTCAGCATGCGTACCGAAGTGGCGGGTCTGTGGGCTCAGCTCTTCACCATCTGACTTCCAGGTTGGAGGAGGGTATGGGCTCGGGACGGCTGTCGGTGTGCGTGTTCGCTGACATCGAAGGGGCTTTCAATAACACGGCCCTGTACTCGATCTGCAGGGCGGTGGAGAGTACTGGAGTGGGGACGGCCATTGTAAGGTGGATCCGCTCCATGCTAACCGACAGGAGGGTCGAGGCAAGACTGGGTGGGGAGCAGGTCTCCATCGGTTCATCACGGGGTTGTCCACAGGGCGGGGTCTTGTCCCCGTTCCTGTGGTGCCTGGTGGTGAACGAGATATTGCATATTCTGAGGGAAGAACACGGGGTCTATGCTCAGGCATATGCAGACGACCTTGTGATAATGACGCAGGGGACGGACGTGAGGAGGATGCAGGGGCTCCTGAACGGGGCATTGGCAAGATTCTCACAATGGTGCCTGGACAGCAAGTTGGCTGTCAATCCTAGCAAGGTGGAGATGGTAATCTTCACTAGGAAAAGGAAGATGGAGTGCAACCTCAACATTTCGATGGATGGAGTGCCTCTTTCTGCAAGCGGAAGTGTCAAGTACTTGGGCGTATGGTTGGACTCTACGTTGACCTTCCAGGAACATATAAGATCAAGGACCAGGTCGGCCTTTGGAGCTCTGTGGGCGTGCCGGAGAGCGGTAGGGGGCACTTGGGGCCTGTTGTCGGTCCCTCTGGGCCAGTACTGCACTGTGTTTCAGGCGGAAATTTTCGCTTTATTGATGGCGGCCAGAGAGGTGCTTCGGCTCAACTACGGAAGCAGGAGAGTCTTCTTCTGCTCGGATAGTAGGGCTGCACTCATGGCGCTGAAGTCAGTGCGTACGCGCTCCTTGTTGATAAAGGAGTGCAAAGGGGTACTGAGGAGGGTGGCTGAGGAGAGAAAGGTCACGTTGGTCTGGGTTCCGGGTCACACCGGTGTCCGGGGCAATGAGGCAGCGGACGCCTTAGCCAGGGAGGGCTCCTCGCATAGGCATATAGGGCCAGAGCCCCGCTTGGGGATCGCCCCGTGTGTGAGGCGGGGAGCTCTCGAAGCCTGGGCGAGAGACCGGGCCGCGGGGGGCTGGAGAGTTGCTCCGGGAATGAGGCAGGCGAGGCTTATGATGGATGGGCCCGCCCTTCCTCGGACCAGGGAGCTGCTTAGACTGACCAGGAGGGAGTGTAGAGCACTAACAGGGGCCTACACAGGACATTGCAGGCTTAGGAGGCATCTCTGCTTGCTAGGCATTGGAGACGACCCGGAGTATAGGTGGTGCATGGAAGGGGAGGAGACCCCGTATCATCTGCTCACCGAGTGCCCTGCCTTGACATGGGCAAGATTGGGAGTCTTCGGAACTGCCCTGATCGATCCGGACTCAGTGCACGGTATTGGGCTAAAGGAGTTGCTGACCTTCTACAGGAGGGGCGGCATTCTGGACGCCCTCTAGAGCGGCCTGGGGGCACAACGGGCCCATCTGGTGGCCTAAGTGCTTGGACGCCCGCGAGGGCGCCCCCCTTTAATACCAATACCAATACCAATACCAATACCAATAATACTCCGAAACTAACTAAAATTAAATTATTTGAGTTGAAATAGGAAATATTTCATAAAAATCAAATTCTTTCATTTTAATATGGCATTAATAGAACAAATACATTTTTTACATGCTATTCCAATTTTGAATTACTATTACTGCCCACACTGAAATTTTAAACAATGGGTTTTGCGCTTTCTTAGGGTCTGCAAAATCCAAGGTAATTTGTTGTTACTTTTTTTGGAGAAAAACACAATTGAAAATCCAAAATAACCCATTTCAAACCCTGCAAACAAATAAGTTGATTCCTAAGAAAACTAACCAAAGCTAGCCCTTCCAACTTTTGTATAACTTTTTTTTTATAAAATTGGAAATAATGTGCTAGGGGGAAATAATTTTGTTAGCTTATTGCATATAAATACACAACTTATAACTCACTGATTTTTAATGGTTTAAAACTTACCCGTACAATCCTATCGAAAAAGTGCCCACCCTATTATACCTATTAACATTTTATTGTCTATTCGAGTGAATGAGAATTTAACTTAAAATATACAGGATGTGCCAGTGAAAAAACTTGATCATCATTTTTTTAATTGAACTATATGGGTAACTTTTAAACAATTAAAGGTACCGGGACAATTAAATAAGATAAATATTGTATATTTAGTGGCATAATACCCCGAAACTACCCAAAATGAAATTATTTGAGTTGAAATAGGAAATATTTTATAAAAATCAAATTATTTCATTTTAATATAGCATTAATAGAACAAATACATTTTTTTACAGGCTATTCCAATTTTGAATTACTATTACTGCCCACACTGAAATTTTAAACAATGTGTTTTGCGCTTTCTTAGGGTCTGCAAAATCCAAGGTAATTTGTTGTTACTTTTTTTGGAGAAAAACACAATTGAAAATCCAAAATAACCCATTTCAAACCCTGTAAACAAATAAGTTGATTCCTAAGAAAACTAAGCAAAGCTAGCCCTTCCAACTTTTGTATAACTTTTTTTTTTATAAAATTGGAAATAATGTGCTAGGAGGGAAATAATTTTGTTAGCTTATTGCATATAAATACACAACTTCTAACTCACTGATTTTTAATGGTTTAAAACTTACCCGTACAATCCTATCGAAAAAGTGCCCACCCTATTATACCTATTAACATTTTACTGTCTATTTGAGTGAATGAGAATTTAACTTAAAATATACAGGATGTGCCCGTGAAAACTTGATCATCATTTTTTTCATTCAACTATGTGGGTAACTTTTAAATAATTAAAGGTACCGGACAATTAAATAAGATAAATATTGTATATTTAGTGACATAATACCCCGAAACTACCCAAAATTAAATTATTTGAGTTGAAATAGGAAATATTTCATAAAAATCAAATTCTTTCATTTTAATATTACATTAATAGAAAAAATACATTTTTTTACAGGCTATTTAAATTTTGAATTATTATTACTACCCACACTGAAATTCTAAACAATGTGTTCTGCACTTTCTTAAAGTCTGCAAAAACCAAGCTACTTTGTGGTTGTTACTTTTCTAAAATTGGAAATAATGTGCTAGGAGGGAAATAATTTTGTTAGCTTATTGCATCTAAATACACAACTTTTAACTGACTAATTTTTAATAGTTTAAAACTTACCCATAACGTATTGTACCTATTAATATTTTACTGTCTATTTCAGTGAATGGAATTTAACTTAAATGTACAGGATGTCCCAGTGAAAACTTGATCATTAGTAGAATGGGAACACTATAATTATTAAAAATTTGGTACTATGCTAAGTCGAAAACTACGCCTGTTTAACAAATTCAATTCTTAATTTCGAAAATTATTAATTGGTTTACAGGAAAAATTTACGATTAACGTCCACGACACCACGCATTTTTATGTCACCTTATTTATATTTAGGGTATAGCTCCCGTAGATAAACCTGGTGGGTTTCACGTATGACTACACATTTTCTTTGAATCTCATATTTCTGAAGTTAACTTGGCAACGTGACTTTAGTATAAAAACAATAATAATAATAATAATGACTTTGTTGTAATAATCATACCTAACCGAAATTTGTGTCAACGTTATAAGATGGATAAGCAAATAGGATTTTTTAGAAAATATCAGTTGTAAACCACAAAACAAAATGAAAAACGCATATTCGACAAGAGCGATGAGACGATCTTGTCGAATGTGACGTTATGGGCATTATGCCTAAATTGTATTAATTTGTAGAAATAATATGGATATTTGGTAAGAATTACTTTATTCTGTAATCCGTGACAAATGAAAAATACTTCTTTCTCTTATTTTGGTAGCCATGCGGCTATCGTATTTTTTTATCTCAGTAATTAGATGGACCGTACAAAATTAATGGATTAAAAGAAACTCTATTTACATGAAATGCGTTTTAGTATAGATCAAGATATGTAGTCAACCCACCAAGAGTTTACAATTTTATAGATTTCAAATAAAAATTTTGGGTACATAAAAACTGCTTTATTTTCAACCTTAAATACCAAACAGCAACAGAAAAGTTAGTATAATAACAAAAAAATATAAACAATCTTTTATCTCTTAAATCTACACTGCATTCGCAAACAAATCGCACTGGTTGGAGTGCCTTATTATAAAATATTGTAAAAACTTTGGAATCTACTGTCCAAAGTGCAGTTCTACGAATTATATCAATCGATACTCCATTGCGTAGAGCTTTTGATGTAGACGCGCGCCGTGCACTTTGAGCACTGAGTTGTGAAGTATCAGTCAATGTAGGAATCCAACGACTAATACTTTCAGAGGAGACAGCTTTGCAGGGCTTCTTAAAAGTTATAAATAACTTTCAAACACAATTTCTAATATCTTTGGTTATAATTAAGGTATCAGCCACACGAATATATTTATAAATATATATCTTTAAAAATAGTAATATAGTAAAAGTTGTTCACGATTTGGTACGGAAGTTCTTATACGATCTGGTTCTTTCATCTCTATATCTTTCAAAGTGTTTCTAATGTTCTTCATTTTAATAAGAGGAAGAGTTTGGACCCCATATCGTGCAACCAAGGCTATTTAAAGACCTGGTGTAATAAATCTTTATTCTTAGGTTTTTTTTTTCTAAATAAAGGGCCTGCTACACGTACAAACTGTACTACACGCTTACTTGCACAAACCGGTTTGTATAGGGAACTGTTTGCGTGTAGACGGCAAAACGGTAGCTCTCACAGATTTGAAAGAAAGGCTTGTGAAAACATCGCCAAGTTGAAGATTTTTGTTTCCACAAACTAGTTTGTGCGGTAACTTAATTAAGTAATAAAAAACACCAACTCGACACTTGGCCACATATTTACCGATTGCAAAACTTCATTAAACCTTTCGATAGTAAAGTTTGTGCAAAGTTACTTGCATCATATGGGCACTGCACAGTGTTCTCTCTTTTTTGCGCAAACAAAACCGTGCAGGCGAGTCTCTATCGTGTAAGAGCGACTCGATATCGAAAATTTTCGATCCGACCATTTAAAATTATAAACTCTTGGTGTAAAGTGGGTTGACTACCTATTTTGATGTAGTAGAAAAGATGCGAA